CCAGGATGGGGCCCCCGGGACCCCAGGGTGAGCTGCACAGTGCCCAGCCGGCTGCACGGCTGAGTCGGGCCTGGGCCCCTGCAAGGCCTCAGCCTCCGTGGCCCGGCCAGCCGCGGGCACAGGTCTGCCGGCCGTGAGGCGCGGCCAGCTGATGACCCTGAGCGTGGGCACACACAGCCTGGCAGAGCTGCTGCGCCTGGGCCAGGCCGCCCGGGGTTGGTGGTGCCACCGGGCAGGACCCCCGGGCCAAAGCCCCCACGCGAGGCAGCCATTGCACCCCAGCCGGGCCGAGGGCTGGAGGGGGCATCTGCCGGGCCTCGGCGCCCCAGGTCGGCACCCGCCACAGAGCTGCGTGACAGCAACACCCGCCCCGTCACCCGGGCCTCCCCGGCCTGGGGCCGCAGCAGCCAGCCTGTGGCCTGCGTCCACCCAGCTCATCTACCCGCCTCGGGCCTGTCCAGCCAGTCTCATGAGCCCAGATGCGCGACCTGCCCCAGCCCCGCGGCGGGCGGTCAGCCCGGCCAGCTGCCCGCAGTGGGACTCACCTCTGTCCTGGGCGGCTCCCCTGCAGGCCGGCGCCTGGGGCACCTTCTCCCTTTTGCTCTTCATCCTTCTGGGTCTCTCCCGAGGAGCTTCGGCGGAGGGGAGGGCCGGCTGCTGGGTGCGGGCTGGGGCACCCGGGCGCCCCAAGGGTCCCGGCACAGCCTCCTGGTGCCCCGGCCGCAGTGAGCCTTGGGGACAGAACAGCCCCCTGCCCGCGCCCGCCCTGGGGCCTCTGGGCCTCGCCGTCCCGTCTGTCCTTCGGGATGTCCGTGGAGCCAGTGCACAGTGGGGACAGGGACTGCTGGACATGGGACCGGACCACACTGCCCACTTCACGTCTGGGGCTCTGGCCGGAAGCCAGGACGGCGCGCCTGGAGCCGCTCACCCGAGGCCAGGCGCTGGGGGGCTGAGGGGGGCTCGTGTCCCTGGGCAGGGCGTGCTTGGTCTCCAGGGCCATGCTCAGCTGCCCGCCTGCCTGGAGGAGGGTGCAGGGGAGGGCGCGGTCAGGAGCGGCCCCGCTTGGCAGCCGCTCGGAGCCTTTGAGCGCGGGGCCAGAGGAGGGCACCGCCAGCCCGGGCGGCCACGGCCCGCGCCACCTGCATGCGTGTGCAGCCCCCAGGCCGCTGGGGGGCGGTGCAGGCGGGCGGGCTGTTGCCCTTTGCCCCTTGGGCTTCCCAAGGGTGCTGTGCCGACCCCAGACTCGGGGTGCCGGGCCGGGGCTTCCGGGGCCCACACGCGCAGACAGGCCAAGGGCCCAGTGCTGACAGGACCCTGCCTGCCCCCCGCCCACTCCCTGCCCGTGGCACCCCCAGACTCCACACCCCCACCCCCGTGCCCACAGCCATGGATAGTCATTCCGGGTGCAGAAGCCCGACGCCGGGACACACCTCCGCCAAGACGCCCCCCGCCCAGAAGGCTCCCACTGACCGGAGCAGGCCGGGGCTGGAGGGGCGCCGGCCGGCTTGCTGGCCTTCCTCTGGGGCGCTGGCCTGGAGG